ATTCCGGAAGAGGATGTTTGTGCGATATACGCGTATCAGTCCTGTGACTGCGGGCTCGGCGATCTCAGAATGCAAACCTGTTCTAAAACTGCAAACCAGGTAGCAGTTCTCCAGAACAGGTGGGAAAGTGCAAACCTAACCAGGTTCCGAAATCCAGACTCCCAGCTCGCTCTTTCGAGCCACAAACATGCACACCTGGTCCGGAAAGGGCAGTGGCAGACTACCGTCTTCACCAGATAGAACGCCCGGTCATTATAGCTGTATAAGCCTGTATTTGGCACAGCTTTCAGCCCAGATAGGGCAACAAATACCGGGCGTTATATTCGTGTGAAGACGGTAGCGTTGCAGGACCACAGCCCAACTAAGAGCATACTCCCACTATCACCGTCTCGACTGAGCTCTGGACTTCTATGGTCAGGGACAGCCAGGCGCGGCTGTAATTGTGGTCAGATACATCGTCCGTCTTAGTAGGTTGTGGCTCTTCCTTCTTTCAGTTCTGCGGCCATCTCTCTCACAGTCGATAGGGTGTGATAAGCACACAAGCGCACGGAGGGGGGGGAGCAGGGGGCTAGCGGGGACAGGAGAGAAATTTGGGAAAGTAGGGAGAGTTAAGGGAGTTGGAAAGAAGCTCGCGAACCACTGAGACAGATATTGCCCGGCTTACGAGACAAACGGAGACCAACGGACACAAACCGAGACAAACGGAGACAAATGGTGGAGACAAACAGAGATAAACGGAGAAACGGAGAGAAACGGGGAACAACCGTTGAGGCATTACGCGCTGAGAAAGATACTGCCTGGCTGAATGAGACAAACGGAGACAAACGGAGACAGACGGAGACAAAATGGGGACAAACGGAGACAAACGGAGACAAATGGCGACAAACGGTAACGGAGACAAAGGGAGACAAAACGGAGACAAACGGAGACAAAATGGAGGCAAACGGGCGACAAGCGGAGGCAAACGGAGACGCACGGAACTCTGTATCCAAGGACAGCTATTGCCCGGGTGAACGAGACAAACGGAAAGTCCAATTATTCTTTTATCTTTTCTAACGGTGATTAATTCGTAAGAGATTAATTCGTAAGGAAAAGGAACTGCTGCGGCATGCCAGTGGAACTTTTTTTTTTTGTAATATGGTATAGCTCACGTAGGAGCACTGGTGTGCCGACGACTCACGGAGTAAGGGAGGGCTACTCAGAAGAGATGCAGGCTTGTTTTGCTATTGTCCTTCGCCTAAGGTAGTAAAGTGAAACGCCGCAAATTAATGACGCCGTACTGAGCATGACTGTCTTTTGCATGACCCTCAGGTCCGCGCGCCCACAACAAGACAAGATGTTCCTCCCTATTTCGACCACCATCTCAACTAACCTCCGTCTTATATCGAGACCAGTCAGCGGTAAGCAGGAAGAGCCAGGAGCCTGGCATTCAACTATCTATGTAGCCATGGATCCTGTCGTTCGGCTAAGTACTAGCGTCTTGAAGTTCCCCCAAACACAACGCACCCTCATTTTGGCTGTACCTGACCAGAAATAAAGCAAGTACTATACATTCGTTATCAGGGCGCGTTATGTTCGCATTGTTCGGGGGAAGACGGTAGTTAGTTGAATGAGACTCAGCTGTTACATTTCGCTTTTTTTTTTTTTTTTTTGTCAATTCGCTATTCTACCATGAGCACGACAACAAAGAAGGCAAAAAGAGACCCAAAAAAAAAAAAAGAACGAAAAAGATAGAAAAACGCTAAAAGACAAGAAAAGAGACAGTAGAAGAGTAACTGCGGTGAAGTGAACACCAGGCTGATGCACCCCAGAATGGAAAGGAGCCTAAAAAGAACTGCAGAATCATGCTTTTTTTTTTTTTTTTTCGGCTGATTTTTTTTTTTTTTTTTTTTTTNGTACGGAGTCTTTTATTCGTTAATTATAAATTTCTAGCCATTCATCTCTCTCTGAAATGTACAGACCTGGGGCGACGTCCCACCAGCAAAGAGAATTGGATTGAAATTTGAAAGCCTGAATCTGGACTTTTTTGTGGAAAGGTGCAGAAAATCGAGATTGAACTGCTTTTCTGCATCTCTCGTCTTATCCAATCCTCTTTGCTACTGGGACCTCGCCCCTGCTTAAAGCTTTGCTGACGGCCAGTACCAAAAGGAGAGGGTGTTTACGAGGGGGGGGGTGGAAAGACAAAAAAAAAAAAAAAGAAGAAGAAAAGAGAGGGGAAAAACAGAAACTGTCGTTTGTCTACCGTACGATTTAACCTCGATCTTCTGACCGATCGTCGGACGAGCCAGCTCAGGACATACTCACACTGGGACTTTCCTGGATGTATCTGACCGGAATTCCACCTTTCCCTCGAAGTATCTGACCGCAATTACGTCCAGAGCTCAGTCCAAAAGAGCCCCTAGTCTAAGTATGCTCTCAGCTGCAGCACTGTGTTGACGAGCGCGGAGAGCCCCCCCCCTCCCTACTACTGTCGTACCCAGCCACCTTCACGAGCGCGGCCCCAGCCCACGTGGCTGGCATATGGTACACACACACACACACACACACACATCGCATGCAGCAATAATTGTCTTCAGTACTAACACATGATGACGAATCTTCCATGAGTTTTCCATGAGTTTTACACGAGTTTTTGTCACCGAGTTTAATCCATGATCTTTTATCTCGTGAGTTTTGATCCACGTGTGGGAGAGTGTTGCCCTTAGACACTGCTGTTATTTGGTTGGGGGTGGGGGACGATGAAAAGGGAGGCGCAGCTACTGGCAAAATGCTCGGTCTTTGCGTTAGCCAGACCCCCACCGGTGGCCCCACCCCAGCCTTGGACGTTTGATTACCATGGATGGGGGGGGGGGGGGGGGGGGCGCAACATACATCCCCCCCCTGATGGCTGGAGGGAGACAACAAAGCTACGTTCGCAGGGGTCCCCTGTATAAGCCGTAGGAGTAGTGGTAGGTAGGTAGTAAAAAGGTGAATCGAAACAATTCGAAAGATGATGAAAGATTTGAGAGAAGAATGTAGCGTATTTTTAAAATTAAAAAAAAAAAAAAAAAAAAAAAAAAACACTACCGTAGAACCGCGACTTTCCCCGCCAAAAACAAGCCACCGTCATCAGGTCCGTATCGGACCACAAACATCGCTTCTATACATTCATGATCAGCGTGCGTTGTGTTCGGACGAAGACGGTACTTCCTACGTAAAACGTTTTTGTCAGTCTGACAAGACCTGACAAGACCTGACAAGAACGGGCACACCCCCTCCTTCTGTACACATCCACCAGCTGCTACTCCGGGCCTGGCCGCGCCACTCACCCCATGTGAAAAAGATGAATGTACATTTCCACTTTCTAGCCGACGATACATTCACAAATTGACTGTTGCACAACCATTGGGTGCGCATTCCGAGGAGGAGGCCCCTCCCTTCCTCTGCGACAAAACCTCTCTGGTCTGGCATTACAAAACTCCCGCCTCCAAAGCGAATGGCAGACCAAGCCGACCTCCAATTCGGAATTGCTTTCAAATTCCAATTGTCTCTGTCGACTTGCAGCTCAGTCCTTCAGCTCAGTCCTTCAGCTCAGTCATTCAAGCCGAACTCGAATTGCGCTGAAGGACTGAGCGACAAAACCTATCTCTTTTTGGCCATACGAGTGCAGCTCACTCCTTCAGGCAAAACCAAGCTTCGAAATTGCGTCTCCATTCCAATCTCCAACTCCCGTATCGAAAGCAACTCTCCCGTCTGTACGCCAAAACCAGCCTACGAAAACATTCCGTCTGGAAAGTGTTGCATTACACACCAACTCGCGTTGAATGCGACGCTAATTTCCAATCCAGATTCATTCCAAATCATCAATCCCAATTCAGACCGACTTTCAGTCCAAATTCAGTGCAACCCACATCAATCCAAATCAGATTCAAATTCAATCCGACCTGTCAATCGAAATTGCCTGTCCGTACGTGGTACAAAGAGCAACCAACATACTTCAGGCCAAACCAAGCTATATAAAACTCGGCTCTGTCGAAAGCGTGTATATGTAATACAACACACCAACCAAGTCGAATCGAATTAAAAACGAGTCCACTCCAATTTCGCTCCAATTTCATTTCAAATTCGTTCCGAATTAGCTCCAAACTAAGTCCAAATTCATTCCAATTTTTTTCAGGCCAAACCAAGGTACAAAACTTCGCTATCGAAAGACTTAGTAGTCACTTATTGTGTAGTATATATAACACACCAACTCGAATCGAATTAAAATTTAAAAACGAAATTCAGTCCAATTTCGCTCCAAATTCGCTTCAACTCGGTCCAAATTGTTTCAAATTCATCCAAACTTTACTCCAAAATTCACTCCAAACTCAGTCCAAATTCATTCCCAATTCGTTCCCAATTCAATCCACATTCAGTCCAAATTGTTTATCGAAATGCATCCAGTCCAAATTCAATCCACGTTCATTCCGAAATTCATTCCAAATCCATTCCAAATTCAATCCAAGTCCTTTCAGAATAAAACAAGCTACAAAATTTACGGCACCCAGTGTGTATATATATTTATAACACACAAAGTCGCATGCACCAAGTCGGGAATTCGGGACTGATTCCGACTTCAAATTCAATCCAAAAATTTGTCTATTGAAATGTCTGTTGGTGGATACGCAGTGCACAGTGCAACGGCGGACCGTGCAGCGCTTTTCAAGCCAAACCAACCTAGTAACAAAATTTCCGTCCACAAAATTTCCGTCCACAAAACTTCCGTCAGCATCAGGAAAGTGTGTATGATATTATTATAGAAACAGTAGATGATTAAATAGATCGACAAACAGAGCTGCGCGGTAAATCGGAGGAAGAGAGGGAGAAGAGAGAAGAGGACAAAAACGACGGGCTGTGACAAACTGTTTTTGGTCGGAGTTTATTTAGTATCACACACACACACACACACACACACACACACACACACACACACACACACACACAGACACACACATCCAATTGGAAAATGAATATCGAGATAATTCGAATTCGATTGATTCGGGACCATATATAGAATCAATGCCGATTATCGGAATGCCGCCGCCTTCGGCCAAAGCTAGAGCCAAACAAAGCTAACAACTCTAAATTAAATTCCGTCTGGAGAAAAAAAAAAATGTACTACTCTACCATCAAGGTCTACATTATGGGATTCGTAATTGATGATAACCTCGATTTTCCAAGCAAAAAAAAAAAAAAAAAAAAAAAAAAAAAAACATAAAAGAAGAAAAACAAAATTGATGACTTCGGAAAACGAAACGAATTCCAAATTATTCCCTTCGCGATCGAAAATTCAATCCAAGCTGTGGCTTTGCAAATCCGTTGCCAATGGATGAAAAAGAACAAAAAATCCACCAGCTGTGCTTGGAATGCACTAAATAGTAAAAACTAGTAAAGCTTATGATGAACGCAGCAATCGGTCATCGTCATCATAACCGTCCGCTGCGATAATCACACACTACCTACCACCTACTCATTCATCCCCTCATAACGACGAGAGATCGAGCTGCAGACGGTCATCATCATCATCATCATCATCATCATAACCATCAGCTGCTATGGATAATCAGTACCTGCCACCTACTGATTCATTCGAGAAGCGTATTCCCCCATCGACGATGGGGGATCGCGCTACCCCCGCCGGGCCCGTCCTCCACATTCTGCCAACCACCTGTTCTCCTGCTCAACTTTTTATCTCCTGCTCAACTTCTTATAGCTTGCCTGCCCGCGATGGCAAATCCTTGTTTGTTGCGAAGCATCCAAGTGCTGCTACACCAAGCAATGGTCGAAGCTACCGTCGTCACCCGAATAGAACGCCCGGTCATTATCACTGTATCTAGACTGAAAGCTGCACCAAATACAGATATAATGACCGGGCGTTCTATTCGAGTGAAGACGGTAGCTATCAGCCATCAGCTCGCAACTACAGGTAGCATCTAGCGGCCAGCAGTTATCCGGGTCAAATACCAGCTACCCTCTTGAACCGAATAGAACGCCCGGTCAATATACGAGCAAACAACGCTTCAAAAAAACAAGAGCTAGAATCGAATATCATCATCGATATACGACCAAGCCACGTGCAAGAACTCGAAAAAGAAAAAGGAAAAAAAAACGTGCCCCATGGGGCAAAACCTGTCAAGCTACCAAGAAGAAGATGGGCAAACTCGAAACTGCGCCACATGCTGCAACTTGCGCACTTAACAGCCATTTGATCTAACCAATGAGCTGTGATGCTATCGGCTATAAGCTATCGGCTATAAGCTATCAGCTCGGGCTATCACGCTCTCAGCTATCAGCTATATACGCCCAAGCAATGCGCGAACCGAAAACTGCGCCACAAGCTGCAACTTCGATTCCTCTCGCCTCTCGGCTCTAATGGCAACGGTTCAGCTACGACTTTAGCCTGTCATGCTGTCAGCTAGCTATCAGCTGTCGCCGTAGCCGTATCTGCTATCGGCTATCAGCTATCGGCTATCGGCTATCAGCTACAATGGTAACGGTACGGCTACGGCTTTACTCTATCATGCTGTCAGCTAGCTATCAGTTGTCGCCGTTACCGTACGACAAGTGACAGCCTATTTCACAAGTTTTTCAAAAACTATAAATATAGCCATTTCTATTCCCAACTCCTTTGCGACATCCCGTCACACAATAAATGGGAGGATGGGCCTCGTTCCGTTACTCTCCAAACAAATGTGCAAAATGAGAATGAATCCTGCGCGAGAACATGGAAAGATTCATTGCCATCTTCTTTTGTCTTTTGTGCATGTGGTGAGTAGTGGAACCGACGAGGGGCCTGAGGCCGCCATGTCCCACCAGCAAAGAGCATTGGATTGAATGCCTGAATCTGGATGGTTTTACAGTAGAGATTCCGAAAACCAGTTCAATCTCGATTTTCTGCACCTTTCCACAAACACCTCCAGATTCAGCCATTCAATTCAATCCTCTTTGCTAGTGGGACCTGGCCCCTGATGACACCTACAAATCGACACATGCCCCAAATTATCATTCTCAATTTCTCTATTAAATACACACACACACACACACACACACACACACAAAAAAAAAAAAAAAAAAAAAAAAAAARATATACTACGGGTGTCCTTAGGACGAAAAAGTACATGGCTCTAGTAACTTTGTCAAAAAAAGTGGGCCAAAAAAAAAAAAAAAACAAGTGGGTCAGTCTGGCGACGGCTATTACTAACTAACTGTTACGAACTGAAAAAAAAACAGGCCGAGCTCAATTGGTACACCCTTGAGCTGTTGAAATTCAGAGCTATGTCAAAGTGAGAAAAAAAAAAAAAAAAAAAAAAGAGTGGGTCTGAATTTCAAAAGTTCAAGGGTGTACCAAAGGGCCGAACTCAGTTGGCACACCCTTTTTTTTTTTTGAACCTGTCGAAATTCAGACCCAAGTTCGGATCCAGTTGATCGACGTATAAAATAAACTATATTTAAAAAAACAAAAAAAAAAGGCATGTGCAAAATTAGGCCTATGAAGGGTCTGCTACCGTCGACTGAGTTGAACGAGAAAAAAAAAAACCGCAACGATGTTGAAAATTGGGCGAAATAAATCGAGCGGCCTAGCTCAGTCAGTTAGGCACCCAAGTGGAATTGAGGAGGTTGTGGGTTCGAGGCCCAGGACCTCCCGCGGCGCACTTAGTGCCAACATACTGTGATTATAGTCCGCTTCATATTGATATCCCTCATCGGTATTAGTAGGGTCTATGAGCAACACGGGTGTGCCGCGTGCGTGTGAGCGGGAGTGGGTTGTGTGTGGTGTCTGGTGTGTGGGAGAATGTGGGCATAGCCACTGGTGCTACTCGATGGGGGGGTCACCGTGGGGAAAGAAGATGGGAGGCGCAGCTACTACTAACAAAATGCTCGGTCTTTGCGTTAGCCGCTCCCCCCGCCGCCCCCTCGGCCCCCCGTCCCCCTGCCCCCAGGCCCTACTCCCCGACAACCGCCCATTAGGGCGGGGGGCAACATGCATCCCCTTACTTGTGAGAGTTGGCTATGCTTGCAGGGGTCCCCTGTACAGGCTTAGGAGTAGCGGGTAGGTAGATTTTTTTTTTTTTTTTTTTTTTTTTTTTTAATGCTCACAGCGGGTAGGTAGATAGTGAAAGGTGAAACTGAGAGAACGACATAGCTTAGCATTAAAATTAAAAAAAAAAACATGTCTGTTTAACTTATTAGTTATTAAAAATTAATTTGGGCGAACTGTCATGGTGAGTACGCCTATGACTGGTCTGCTACCGCGAAATCAGTTATGTCCTTCGGGATATCCGCGAAAATTGGAACGATAAAGAAGCGGAAGATTAGCATGGCCCCTGCGGGCAAGGATGACACGCACAAATATAGAAAAAATGGTCCAAAAAAATAAAATAAAATAAAATCAGTCATACAAGCAGAGTACAGGCTTCAGTGTTGTGCTCGGTGAAAGCGGCAGTGTGCCGCTCGGTATGATAGAGCAAAGCGGCTAGGCCGCTGAGGGGTTCGATCTGTGAATCTGTGGGCTTCGAAAGTCCAAGTGCAGTTAGCACCACAGATCGGCGCATCATCGTCGACGGATCAGCGGGGGCCAAGTCCCACCAGCGGCGTTGGGTTTCCTCAACGCCTGAATCTGGCCGTGTTTGTGGCTATGTGCGAGGGCCTTGAAATATCATCATAGAACTGACCAGCCCTAGGTAGATCAAAGTTGCAGTATTTAAGGGGGGGGGAAAAAAAAAAAAAAAAAAGTTGCAGTATTTTACTCATCGGCTTCCAGTGGAGTTTGAGCTCAGGTCAGGGGCGAGGTCCCACTAGCAAAGAGGATTGGATAGAATGCCTGTATCTGGACGTGTTTGTGGACAGGTGCAGACAATCGAGATCATTGAACTGCTTTCCTGCATCCCTGCTTCAAACATGTCCAGATTCTGGAGCTCAACCCAATCTTCTCTGCTAGTGGGATTGAAGAATGCCTACCCCTGTATTTCAACAGCTCGCGGGTGTACGGACTGAGGGCATACTCACACTAGTAGCACTTTGCTGAATGTATCTGACTGCAATTACGGCAGAACCTGAATGCATCTGACTGCAATTACGGCAGAACCTGAATGCGTCTGACTGCAATTACGGCAGAACCTGAATGCATCTGACTGCAATTACGGCAGAACCTGAATGCATCGGACTGAATTACGGCAGAACCTGATGCATCTGACCGCAGTAACGTCCGGAGCTGAGTCGAAAAAGTCCTAACTTAAGTGTGAGTACGCCCTCAGCTAGGCCGGTCGGTAATTAATTCTTATTTATTTTTTTCCCGGTAATTCGTGTTTTTTTTTTTTT